CCGTCACCAGATGGCTTCCACTTTAGCTCTAGTGATAACAGTTGATATTTTTCATCAACTCGTGATTTCCTCCTCATTTTCTGAGGCACAGCTCTGTGGTCTCTCCAGCTTTCTGAATCCTCGGGGTAGGCTAAGAGACACTCATCCTCTCAAAGTGTCCTGACCATATTACAGCATTTATCATGTTTCACCAAAATGCTTTGTGTATGTTTGTATTCCTCATCAAATTATAAGTTCCAGGAGGACAAGAATCTCATTTCTAAATATCTTTTTGGCTTCCAACACCTTATACAAGTCTTGAAACATAGTGAGTAGTCAGGAAATTAAAATGAAAGAATTTGCATGATAAGAAGATTATATGATTTGAATATTTAAATTTAAATTAAGTTAAATACATTCAATTAAAATGTATTTGTATTACTATAAATACCTTACATGTCACAAAAAAACTACAAGACTGCTTAAAATTTGAGTTTAACCTAAAACCTCAAGTCAGTGATGTTGATGGCTAAATGTCTTATTCCAGATGGCAATTTGTTGAGAAAAATAAAATTTTACTTAGTTATATCACACATCATCTCTAAAAGACTTTGAGATGATCTCAGCTCAAATTTTTAAAAATATCTTTTGGAAACAACTATGGAAATATGTTTGTTTCTTCCCTATAAAACATTCAATAATGATAATTCATTAACGAGCTTTTATTGTTTCCATTTATAAGCTTGCTATGTATGTATGTATGAATGGATGTGTTGAGTCAGAGTCTCACTCTGTAGCCCAGGCTGGAGTGCACTGCAGCCTCAACTTGCCAGGCTCAGGTGATCTCTCCACCTCAGCCTTCCAAGTAGCTGGAACCACAGGCATGTGCCACCATGCCTGGCTAATTTTTATTTATTTGTTTATTATAGAGATGAGGTCTTCCTATGTTGCTCAGGCTGGTCTCAAACCCCTGAGCTCAGGCAATCCTCTTGCCTCCACTTCCCAAAGTGCTAGGATTACAGGTGTAAGCCACTACGCCTGGTTATGAGCTTGCTTTAAAACTGTATATTAAAGACCTTCAAGCCGGACTCGGTGGCTCAGCCTGTAATCCCACGCTTTGGGAGGCTGAGGTGAGTGGATTGCCTGAGCCCACGGGTTCGAGACCTGCCTGGACAACTTGGTGAGACCTCATCTCTACAATAAATAAATTTTTTAAAAAATTAGCTGGGCATGGTAGCGCGCGCCTATAGTTCCAGCTACTTGGAAGGCAGAGGCAGAAGGATGGCCGGAGCCCAGCAGGTCGAGGCTGCGGTGGCCGGGAGCGTGCCACTGCACTTCTGTCTGGGCGACAGAGTGAGACTCCAACTCAAAATAAATTAAAAAATAATAAATAAATAAATAAATAAAACTGTATATTAAAGACCTTCAAACCGGACTCGGTGGCTCAGCCTACAATCCTGCGCTTTGGGAGGCTGAGGTGAGTGGACTGCCTGAGCCCGCGGTGTTCGAGACCCACCTGGACAACTTGGCGAGACCTCATCTCTACAATAAATTAAAAAAAAAAAAATTACCCGGGCGTGGTAGCGTGCGCCTGTAGTTCCAGCTACTTGGAAGGCTGCGGTGGCCAAGAGCGGTCACTGCACCCCAGTCTGGGTGACAGAGTGAGACTCCAACTCAAAAAAAAAAAAAAAGAATAAAAATAAAAAGACCTTCAGTAACGCAGTGAAAGAAGTTTAAAAAATGTCTGTGTTTATAAAAATAATCACTTTAATTAAGCAAAGACGCTCCCTGTCAGACTGTACTAGCAAAAGTGTTTTTTTAATTGTTTTAAATGCAATCAAAATTTTCACAATGATTTAAAACAGTTAAAGTTAAAATGCTAAAGAAGATACATTTAATTTAGAGGACAGAACAGAATAGGCAGCATCCCAGGAAAATATAACTAGCAACTATTTTATTCTTGTCTGTTTATCACTGAGTGTATAGACACCAGAAAATCACTGCTTAGTCACTGCTGAAGCATTAAAATACTGTTACATTGGAATAGGAAATTATGCAAACAGAATAAATGTAACAGTAACAAAATACTAGACTTGAACTTGTTCACATCTAACTCTAGTCCTTGGTATTTAAAGTATTTTGTGGGACAGGGCATTGGCATTACCTGGAAATCTGTGAGAAATGCACACTTTCAGGCTCCACTCTAGACATACTAAATCCAAACCTAGGCCAGGCTCAGTGGCTCTGCCTGTAATCCCAGCACTTTGGGGGGCTGAAGCAAGTGGGTTGCCTGAGCTCGCAGGTTAGAGACCAGCCCAGGCAACTTGGCAAGACCTCGTCTCTACAATAAATCAAAAATTAGCCGGGCATGGTAGCGCATGCCTATAGTTCTGGCTACTTGGAAGGCTGAAGCAGAAGGATCACTGGAGCCCAGCAGGTCGATGCTGGGGTGGCTGTGAGTATGCCACTACACTCCAGTCTGGGCAACGGAGTGAGACTCCAACTCAAAAAAATAAGAAATAAATCCAAACCTTCATTCTGACAACATGCCCCAAAGATACACAGGCATATTAAAGCTTAAAAAGCACTGTTTTTGGTGACCTCTGAAATTCTCCCATGTAAAGTTCTAGCCAAAAATAGAAAATCCTTGACTGAAGCCTACCTCTAAGTGTAAAACTAAGGATTAATTTTGCTGCTGTCTTCTGTGTGCATTTGGAGCAAAATTGGTCCTTGACTTAAAGAATATCTGATCCACAGGCCGGCTTCGTATCAACTCAGGATACTGAACCAGGTCTCTTTCCTCAGCACTGACCACCCCCTGCTGGTACAGCTGCGAACTAAACAGATAAACTTGGAAGACAAAGAATATACCAGGGCCACTCTGAATAGCTGAATTCACACCACAAGTTCAAGGGTTTGGTGTAACTTTTCAAAAGACTTGAGTTAGGTATTATTTTAATACCATCATTTTATTACAAATAGCATACATATCCAAAACCATTATTTAAGATTAAATATGCACTTTCTTTTTTTTTTTTTTTTGAGTTGGAGTCTCACTCTGTCACCCAGACTGGAGTGTAGTGGTCTTTCCGGCCACTACAGCCTCGACCTGCCGGGGTCCAGCGATCCTTCTGCCTCAGCCTTCCAAGTAGCTGGAACTACAGGAGTGCACTACTATCCTGGCTAATTTTTGATTTATTGTAGAGATGGGGTCTCGTCAAGTTGCCCAGGCGGGTCTCGAACCCACGGGCTCAGGCAATCCACTCACCTCAGCCTCCCAAAGCGCTGGGTTACAGGCTGAGCCACCTAGCCCTGCTAAATATGCACTTTCTTTTTGAGAGCCTGGTGTGTGCAGAGAGCCTTGAGTGACATCTGCTACCTCAAGAATCATTTAAAGATTCAAAAGTCACACTTCCTGCCCTCAAGAAAGTGGATAGATGAAGTGGCTGATGGATCTTTGGTATGGTCAAGTTCAGGCCTGTCAAAGCCAGTCATCTGGACTGAGACTTATATATGTGTGGACCTAAAATAAGATCTCCAAAGTCACAAACCGTCATTTATGTTCCTGGGGGACATGATATAACAGTTAAACTCTAACTTTCCCTGTTCCTTGAAAAATTCTTTTTAATGCGATTTACTTGCCAACCTGGCTCTGTCGATAAAGAAGGACCAATCAAAGTATTTTATAACCCTATAAAGCTGTCTTTTGTGGACCTTTTAGATGATTTCTGACTCAGTCTGAAGTCTGCTGTTGCCACCCATAACACTTTATCTACATATCAAGAAAGTGCCCCATCCTCCTCAAGTTACTCATTTCCTTTACTGCTTTCAAGATTCCTTAGGTGTCTCTGCTGAATAGTGTCAATCAGAAAACCTTTGAATCCACCTATAGCTGGTACCTTCCTACCCTTACCCCCTCCCTGGATCCAACCAGTGTAAATCTCCCATGTATTGATTTAGGGTTTCTCATAACTTCTGTCCTAAATAGCACATAACCAAGCTACCATTCAACCATGGCAGAACCTTCTGAGGATGGTGTCATGGGCCCAAGGTCACTCATATTTGTCCAGAACAAACCATCTTAAAATACAATGTCTACAGACAATGAGTTTGGTATCTTTTCATCAACAAATATTGGAAACAAAGGAGATTTTAAAAATTATTTCAGGGTATAAGCATGATCCAGTCTAGAAGAATCGATATGATGTTGCATCTCAATCGTGATAAAGATGTCATTTTTAAGAAAATCGCATCTTAAAAGAGTGGGTCTTGATTTAATGCTTCCTCCTCTAGGACATCAATCTAAAAAGTAGAAGATGCTGAGTTTGACAAAACAAAAAGGTTGACGTAAGTTACAAATGTTGACTCAGTGTTGACATCTGGAGCATGGCAGCAGAGATTCTTTCCTAAATGACTATAAAGCAGTGTGTAAACATAACCTGAGATGAAGGAAGCAGAACATCTAAGTCAGAATGCAAGGCAAAATCTGAACAGCATGCCCACTCATACTAAGAGTGGGTATTCTAGAAATACCAAACCAAAGATTAGTGATTTCAAAATCCTTACAAAGAACAAAAAGAATTTCCCCAACTGAAAGCCAAGTGAAACATTACTCTTAATCTGTATAACAATCTGAATACTACTTAGTGGAGAGAGGCAAACTGCCATGGACCCCAGCATCTCTGCATACTCCCGCAGGGTGCAAGAAGAATGCAAGGTCCTAACTTGTCTTTACCAGGTATTTCTCGGGGCTGTGTTTGGAACAAGAAGCCTTGAGGGATGAGATAATGTCTTCCCCAGAACAAACACCCCAGGCGTGCTTATTGCTCCAACAGTGTACTCTCAGACTCATTCCTCTCCTGCAGCACAACTCACTGCATGGTGCAGGCATCCACAAGGGGGCCTTTGCCATGCCCCTGGGTGATGCTAGCCAGTAAAGAAGGTAAAATTCAAGACCCTGCCTGGTTTCTTAACAACTGGCACAAGGAAAAAAAAATTTCTATTATTAGTATTTATCTTACCGGATCCAGGTTCTTAAAGAGTAGAATATCTTTGCAAGCCTCTTGCAATCTATTTCTTTGATCATCAGTTTTTGGATGTATAATCTAAAAGGACATCAAATTAAAAAAACAAAGACATTAGTCAGTACCATCTCACTCAAAGATATAAAAAAAAAATCTAACAAAAGTCAGTAAGGATGTTAGAAAGAACATCAAGTTAGTGCTCAAGTTCACTTTAGATTAGTCCTGGGATTCTCTTTAGGTGACTAGTAACTATTAGTCCACCAAATGGGGGAATGAAATATAACTTGTCTCGGTGGGGTGACATGTTTTCCCACAAGTTAGCAAGTTCATTATATAAAGCCTGTGATTGGCTAAAAAGACTCCAAAGCCCAAAGGACAGCAGGTTACAGCACTTACAATGAATAACTGGAGACTGTTTTTATTTTGTTTGTATTGAGTTTAATCCTCTTTCAGGATGTAGCTCTTTCTTTTGAATCATAACAAAGTCTCTGGAAGCAAGGAAGTTCTTAAATGTATATTGCATTAGATGCTAAATACATTTTTATACATATTGTATGTAACTGCCTCCACAGTGAGTGATTTTCAGAAGAAAGCAAGAAACCATGCACTGCTACTCCAAGAGAATGTATGTTCAAAGGAAAATGAATCCAAGTAGTATGAGTGCACTCATTCTAGGATGAAGTCAAGGAAAGCCAGAGTGCTATATTCTCACCAAACTTTTATTCCAGGAGGGTGAAGGCTGGCAGAAATTCCTCTGTAAATCTGACTTGCCAGCCCTTAAGTCCCTTTTGACCAGCAGGAGGCTTACTTGACGTGGGTCAAAATGTTCATTCGTTTGTGAACATTAGTCGTTTGTAACTATAAAATGAGTTAGAGAAGCAAAGGATAGTCCTAAAGGCAGCAGACATGGAGTAGGCTTCCTACAGATCTATACACCACCTTTTCCTATTGCAATGTTTGCTCCAAGGGTGACCATTGGAACTGAGAAGCAGGTGCTGCACCTCTTCAACCAACCTGCCCACCGTCAGGGCAAGCAGAGCCAGGCATCAGTGGGTTTCACAGCCACAACATATAAAAACTCACAATGGAAAATTTAAATCAGCATTTCAAACCATATCAGGTGGCTAAAAAATTAATGAAAAGCATAAGCTTGAGAAGAACTGAGGACATTTACAATAGTGGTGTACTATTTATATGTAAGTCATTTATATGCATGCTATGTATATGTATTATAAGGGACTACATGAAAGACTACTGGCTAGTGACAGAAGTCACTGAGTTTTTCCCTCTAAGGGTAAAGTACATGTAAACTCTCGTTTACTCTCTGGCCAATATTCATCTCAGACTAGGTTCTAAGATGGCACTCGAACACAGAAAAAGCAGAGCCTGGTGCCTGCTAGTTCACTTCTATACAAGAAAGTTTTAAAATGTAAATATTAACTAAATCACACCATCAAAATTCACTTATTCCTACTTCAAATACGGAAAGTTAACACAACAAAGCAAAACCAACCAAAAAGTTATGTCTCAATTCGCAAAATCCATCTAGAACTTCAAAGTGAGGCAGCTATAAATGTCTGCCTGCTGGCAGCTCTAACCTCAGAAAGGCTGGGGAGACCACATCAGCATCACAAAGTTCCCACTTCACTCTTGCTGTCAATTGAAGTCTTTCTCTTGACCCACTCATTTCCCATGAAGACTTCACACTGAAGTCTACCTTCTTCCTCTTCTTTCTCCTGCTACTTCTGTTCTTTTCAGTTATCTCTGTTCTAAGCTGTCTTTGTCTCTCAGTGCTGCTGCCAACTCTACTGTCTACAGTTTTCCTCCTGTCTCCCTTTTCCTCTCTCCCTGGCATCACTCTTCAGTAGTCAGCGCCACTTATCTATTACAAACCTCCCACTGTAATCCCACTTTTCCTGGGGGAAAGGCAACAGTCAGAAACTGGGGACAGTCTCTGATGCTTTGGCTCCTCTGCCTTGGAACCACTTCCTTCTGAAGATGCTCTTCTACATTTTTTCTTCTTGGGCTTGGTGTGATTCCACATAAGAGATCTGCCTTGTCAGGAATGGTGGCTCACACCTGTAATTCCAGCACTTTGGGAGGCAGAGGTGAGAAGATTGCCTGAGTCCAAGTGTTCGAGACCAGCCTGGGCAACTTGGCGAGACCTCGTCAATAAATCAAAAAATTAGCCAGGCGTGGGTAGCACATACCTGTGGTTCCAGCTACTTGGAAGGCTGAGGGGGAAGGGTCACCTAAGTCCAGCAGATTGAGACTGCAGTGGCCATGAGTAAGCCACTAAATTCCAGGCTGGGTGACAAAGTGAGACTCTGACTCAGAGACCTGCCTCTGAATCACTAAGGCCTCAGCTATATACCCAAAGTGTGATTTGTATTGTGCTAGAGGTCACTTTCATTTTTATTAATTTTCTCTGATTTCAGGTAAAAATCTTATTTGTTTAACAAATATCTATGTAGCAAAAATCACATAAATATGTGCCAGGTACTATTTTCAGGACTTTACAAATACTAACACATTTTATCCTAGTAACAGGTCTCATGAAGCAGGTACAAATTTAGAGTTAAGAAAATGAACTTGCCAAAGTAACTTCTCCCAAGTGACCCAGTCCTTTATGCTGCAGAGCCAGGATTCTCCCAAGCAAGTCAGATACAGAGTCCAAACCAGAAATCTGCAAAATATGCCTGCAGGCAAATTTGGTTTTGCATGGCCTCTGGGCTAAGAATGATCTTACATTTTTAAATATTTTAAATATGCAATATTTAAATATTAAAAATATTTAATATTTTAAATATTTCCTGACATATAAAAATTATATGAGATTCAAATTCAAGTGTCCATAAATAAAGTTTCTATGGAACACAGACATGCTCTTTCATTTAAGTATGACCTATGGCTGTAATACAACATCACAGCTGAGGAGTTACAAAAGGGACCCTATGACCCTTAAAGTCTAAAATATTTACTCTCTGAAAATAGTGCACTTTTGGCTAAAAATAAATAAATAAACTTTACAAAAAGAGTCTGCCAGCTCCTGCTGTAAGCTTCTGCTGTCTTTCAATTTAAAAAATCAGAAAACAGTAAGGTTTACTTAGACATTTTCTTTAAAGAATCTTGTATATCTGTTTTGTTAAGCAAGAGGAAACTGTATAAGACTTCTTCATGTTTGCTCCATTCATTCTCCACACTGAGCTGAAAGTGATCCTTTACAAATTTAAATCAGAACACACCCTTCTCCTGCTGAAAGCCTCAATGGATTCCATCACATTTGCTGTGAAGTCCCATTTCTTTCTTTTTTTCTTTTTTTTTTTTTTTTTTTTTGAGTTGGAGTCTCACTCTGTCTGTCACCCAGACTGGAGTGCAGTGGCCGCTCCCGGCTACCGCAGCCTCAACCTGCTGGGCTCCGGCGATCCTTCCGCCTCAGCCTTCCAAGTAGCTGGAACTACAGGCGCACGCTACCACGCCCAGCTAATTTTTTGATTTATTGTGGAGATGAGGTCTCGCCAAGTTGCCCAGGCGGGTCTCGAACCCACGAGCTCAGGCAATTCACTCACCTCGGCCTCCCAAAGTGCTGGGATTACAGGCTGAGCCACCATTTCTTCCTTCTCCACCTTCACTTCAGCCACTTAGCGCAACCCCTCCTGCCTTTGCTCAGAACCTCGGCTGCCTTCCTCTCTGATGGGTTCAGGTCAAGCTTCAGTGCGCCATGAGCTCCTGGCAAGACTCTCTCCCTCCCTGCCCATCCATCCTTCCAATCTCACCTTAAGGATGCCTTTTCCAATCACTCCACAGAATTAGGACCCCTGCGAATTTGGGGGGTTGTGTTTTGTTTCACTGTCCCTTTAGCACTTTCTATTATTGTAATTATCCATTAATTTACTTGTTTGCTGTGTTCATCTCCTACTATACTTTAAGCTCCAAGAGGGCAGAGACTTTGCTCACCACTGTATACCTGGCCAGATATGCAGAAGGCATTTAAAAAAATGTGTAGAGTAACAGAACAAAGAAATGCTTCACTCTTAAATTGATCAGCTCTTCTCTACCGGTTTCTACATACTAATACCTCTTAAATTCTGATTTATTAAACATATTCCAACTAAAATTTAATTTGTCATTTTCCAAAATGAATCTTAAGTATTTAAATTTTCTTTGAATTTACATCAGAGGATAAATACCCATTTATATCAGAGACTTAAGGATTTGGTGAATCCCAGAAATAATACAAAATATCCAAATAAAATGCTATTTCATCAAAATACCATATATATTTTTTCCTCATAGACATTTCCCATTGTCCTTCTAGATCTAATTAATTTTGAAGTCTGTAATAATCATTCCCAAGGGTATAGTACAGTTTGCCTTGTAGTCTTTATGACCAAAATAAGTACAGTTTTTAGTAACATATTTAGAAGAGAGAATACTCAACCTAATTGAGAACCTAAAAGCACTCTATTACCATCATTAACTTATAACTAATATATTACTTACCCCTCAAAACTATTAAAAACAGCTTTAAAAGATGTTACAAGGGACAGTTCTTAGGGTAAATGACCAGTCCACAGAATCGTCCTCCTCTAGGAACTGCTCTTATTTATAGAAATGGTTCTCAAGTGGCCAACTCTCTGGCCCTGCCCCTACCCTGGCCAAAGCTGGGTCTACCAGAAACTCTTGGGAAATTAGAATTCTGAACTGAGAGAAAGAGCAATAAAGTAAGATTGGTGGCTGAGTCCCTTTCAAAGACAATACTCTAAGTCTTGTACCTTTGCTCTTGTAGGATCCCAGAGGTGATCTGGCTCCTGCCTGCTAGTTTCTGCTCAGCTTTTGATCTCTTTCAGCAGTTCTATAAGATTTCCAAGCATTTGTCCTATAATCTCTCCCCAGTATTTTCTTTTTTACGTTTATTTCAAAGTGATTAAGTTCTTTTACACAGCCAAATAAATACTAACTGGTGTAGTCTTTCCAACAAAACCATCAGAAATTAGTTGGAGTAAACCGGTCAAAAAAATTTGCCTATCTCATGGATTAAACAGTAGCTAAAATTCCTTTTAAGACCTAACAGTTTTGGTGTCAATGAGATACTGCTATTGTTATTTTTTTTTAATCTTGTGAGTCAGGGTCTTACTGTGTCACTCAGGCTGGAGTGCAGTGGCAGGATCATGGCTTACCACAGGCTCGAATTCCTTGGCTCAAGTGATCCTCCTGCTTCAGCCTCTCAAGTAGCTGAGACTACAGTTATGCACCACCATACCAGGCTAGTTTTTTAATTTTTTTGTAGAGACCAGGTCTCACTGTTACCCAGGTTCATCTAGAACTCCTGGGCTCAAGCAATCCTCTCACCTCAGCCTCCCAAAGTGCTAGGATTATAGGGTGAGCCACTGTGCATGGCACAGTGTATGTTATTTTTAAACTGTACTGTTAATGCTCTTTAATTTAGATTTTTACTAATTTAAGCCAGTTCATCAACCTTGTCTAAATTCCTAAATTTTACTATGAAAGGCCGAGGTGAGAAGATTGTCTGAGCCCACGGGTTCGAGAACAGTCTGGGCAACTTGGCGAGCCCTCAATCTCTAAAATTAAAAAAAAAAACAAAATTAGCCAGGCGTGGTAACGCATGCCCATAGTTCCTTGGAAGGCTGAGGTGGAAGGATTACCAGAGACCAGCAGGTCAGTGACCATGAGCGTGCCACTGCACTCCAGCCTGGGCGATGGAGACTACAACTCATAAAAACAAACAAAAAATAAATAAATAAATTCCTAAATTTTAGCATATCCATGTATACACAAATATAAAGAATGTGTGTAGTCTGCAAGTCACCCATTATTGTTTCTGCTAGATACATACATAAAGTATTCCACACGCAAGGTCTAGTTTTTCAGATTATACAGAGTGGTAACAGCATGTCACAGATTAGTAACAATACCTTGATCCTAAGGCTAACATAATTTCCAGGCTGAGATTTATAGACATCAAAATAATTTAAGTTCTGGTAGTGAGAAATGACCTCCCCTATCCTGGTGCTGGGAATCCTTATGGGTCCAGGAGCAAAATAGTACTTTCAAGATCTCATGTGTTATAAAAGCTCCTGATCTTTCTACCACTAGATTTTACATACATTTTGGGGAGTTTAATGATGTAATGACTTAGGGAAGAATCTGCTTTTCCATATTAAAACTCCACCTTATTTAAGTACTTTTCCGAGCTACAGAAATAGGTTTTTGTTTATACTTTTTAAGGCCAAAGAGACAAGGGGCACTTTTGCAAAGTATGAGCTTAAAAAAAAAAAAAAGTAAATTATTACTTTCCATTTTCAAGCACAGTAATCTCTTATTTAGTTCACTTTTCACTGAATAAATAATAGGAGAACTGAGCTAAAGGACACAGCTTAAAAACTGCCTGAAAACACATTGGACAAATTCTTACAAAAACATTAGGGCCTCCAAGAAGTCCACTGCTGAGCCAACCATCAAAACTCACAGATTAAAAAATAATAATAACTGCTGTGATATGTTGGGTGTGATTTTACTGTGATTTGTTTGCTTCAGAGTAAGTTTTTGTTGTTATAAGTTAATAGGAGTAGAAGGTCTTTCCCAATATTTTTCTTTACTAGAAACACTAAGAAAAAGAACATCACAATGAGAAAAATGGCTGAAAACATTCTTTAGCATCAGGACATACTTTGCAAAAGAAAAAAAACCACAACTGCAGTGAGCATATATGCTCATCTCTTTTTTTATTCAAAGAGATACTCTTTGGATAAAAATCATTCTATAGGACTCAGAGGAGGAGGGTATTGGAGGTGATACTAGGAAAAGAAATAGCCAAAATAATATCATTATGTCTCCTGTTAACCTTCATGCCTGTTAACACCTTTTCTATTATTATTTTCCTTATATATTATAAGAGTACCAATTTAAAATTCATGCACCCAGTAAATTACATACCCTGGACTCTGCATCATCTTCTTCTTCATCAGGATTATAAGCTTCTGCACATACTACAAATATAAAAACGAACAGTTTGAAAATTTTTCATCAAAAACCATACTACAATAAATATGTCTTTAAAATTCCATGAATAAAAAGACTACTACTGTGTAAAAAAACATTAATTCACCTCATTCAAGGCAAGCAGTTTTACTCCCCCAAACTGGTTTCATATCACAATTTAAAAGGAATTTCTTTAAAAATAAAGCTGCATTTTAAGACATTGACAACTGCTTTTTGTTTTCTTCTATTCAGAGAAACATAGCTTCAACCTTTTATCTTCATATTCAACACATGGAAATGCATAAAATCCAAACATTACTTAAAAGAACATAACCAAAAAAAGGTTTAAGTCTGACATGAAATGATCAAGTTAATCTTATATTAACTTTCATAAATTATCCATAATCCAATCTTCCAGGAACAAATACTATTAGCATTTTGCATATGCTCTTTCAGTTTTTTTTAATGAGTTGAGTTTATATTGCATATGCAATTTAAAAACCTGCTTTCTTCATTCAACACTATAAGAATTAGAAATATTTTGTAAATATTATTTTTAAGGACTGCAGATTATCACGTTATAATTAACAACTCCTGTAGTGCTGAACATTTAGCTGGCTTTTATTAAAACAACTTTACAATAAACATCTTCATGCGTAAATATTTGCCTATATTTCAGATTATGCAGTAGACATTATTCCCATGTCATTTTTGGAAGGCTCACAGGCATGACTAGCTTTAGGTAATATATATCAATATGTTTCTTTCCAGAAGGGTTGTACTCATCCATTGTCCAACAAATTAAAAAGGTTCTTCTAACTGTACAACAAATTAAATGCTATCACTTAAGATCTTTGTCAACTGACGGAGGAATTTAAATTGTTAAGAACAATTTTTAAATGTGTATAGGCTGTGTTTCCTCCTTTGCCCTCATCTATAAGGAGTATTTGGTTTTCTTTTTGACTTAAACCAGTTTTTCAATACCACTTTATTTGTCCTATTACTCACAATCATTTTATCCAATTTGCTTTTTAATGATAACTACACAGTTTTTACAGTTTATGCATGTCTGTTACTTTTCATGTAGTGACATCTGAAAATTCCCTAGTATGATTTAAACACAAAACATTACCAAAGTATCGCTGCTTTTGAGCCTAGAAACCCTTTCCTTATTTACAAATCTTTAAGACTTGAAACCTCTTTTTGTTCAGTTTTTTAAAGGTAGATGTTTTTACATTTACTCTTTAATTGATATAAAGTCTATTCTAGCATAGACATAAACTTTTAAAGAACAAAGGATAAATGAAAGGTTAACAAACGTCTTCATTATCATCATTAGTACCATTACCATTATTATCATAAAATCAGACATTTTCTTTTCCCTAAGCATTTGCTAGACCAGTGGCTTTCAACCAGGCCCAACTGGGCCCTCCACAGAGAATGTTTGGCAATGTCCAAAGACATTTTAGTTGTCACAACTGTGGAGGGTCAGAGAAAAGCTACTAGGCCAGGGACACTGCTAACCATCTTATGATACACAGGATGCCCTTGCCCTGAACAAAGAATTATCTGGTCCAAAATGCCAAGCGTACTAAGGCTGAGAAACTCTGACCAGGTACACAATATCTCATTCAATCTCACAACAACCCTAATATAGGTGTTAATTTAATGTCGTCATCTGCCTGATGAAAGACCAGGGCACAGGGAGGCCAAGATCACATATCCTGGTTAAGGAACAGAACCCACACTTCATTCTGGGACTGTCAGACTATTTTGACTCTAAAGCTCTTACTCTTAACCACAGTTCTAAGTCAATCGCTTTAGTGAATTTAGTCCTGGCCTTCAGCCTTTGGTCTCAGATATCTAACAGAAGCAGACCAGTTTCTCAGAAGCAGGCTCACACTACAGAACCTCACTGACGCATAGAACCCGAACGCCAATTTAAGTAACTAACTTCCTGAATGAAGCATGGGGTCAGCATGACTGGCTAGATCTCTCCCTGAAGGAAAGCCACAAAAGAAGTCAGATCACAATTAAAAGGTGGCCTGGTGAGCAGGAAATGGGAGGAAAGAAAGTTAGTCAAATAAATTGAATGTTTAATGGTATCAGGCTAGACAGCCGGAGGCATCCACATACACAATTCAGATGGTCCTGACAATGTGTAGGGACACTTTAATTGGGTTGGCTGCAATTCTCCAGAGAGCACAAGGTCATCTTCTTCTACAGCCTGGCTCTGTAGTTTTCTGTCTCCAGGGATGACCAACCTCACAGGCAAGGCAGGACTGCAACATAATTTGTAAGACCCAGTGCAAAAAGAAAACATGTACACATTCAAAAACCAAGATTTTTCAGAGGGCAAGAACAGCAGAGCATTAAATCAAATGCAGAGCCCATGTGAGTATGGGAGGCCCATCAAGTTGGCCCTATTCATAGGATTGACACATCCAATGAGATGACATAGAAGGTAAGATATTTGGTTATTTAAGGTAACCTGTTATGATTTTGTGTGTGTGTTGTGTGTGAGTACCCTCTGGTCCATTAGTATTGATCTTAAATTTCAATTCACAGAAGGCAATCCTAATCCTTTAATTTCTAAGTTTCTAGTACCTAAGCTACGACTAAAAATCATATGGAATGAGACTATTATTTTTCCAAATAGCCTATCGATTGTCCCAGTATTATTTATTACTTAACACATTTTGATTTGTGACAACGACTTTATCTCATAAGTATGTTTATCTGTTTCTGGACTGTTTCACTAAACTATTCCTTATACCAATATTATACAAGGATTTAGTTCTTGCATTTATGTTGCAATTGTTTCACTAAATTAGAATTCATCTACCACCACCTCCTACAGCCAAACGAAAATAAAGCACTTGCAGTTTTGTAAAGCTGTGGTGCCTTACCATCACTTAAACTGTTTCCTCTGACTGGAATCCCCTACATATTCTCCTTTCCAAGCCAACCCTTCTCTCCAGTCCCAGCCAGGAAGTCAGATCAAGAGTCACATCTTAACCTCTCAACCACACAGAACTCAGGAAACTCCCTTCTATGGTCACCCCTGGCATTCTCACAATACAGTGAGGAGAGCTCATCCTAATCACTTAGCATTCTGTATGCTTCTTACAATGCAATCGGCTTGCCTCTCCAGGATGGGACTTGTAGTCATCTAGGGACTGTGTACCCTTATTCATCTCTGTATTTCCCTACCACTGACCTGGCAAATGAACTAGCTCAAAGCATTTTTTTTTTTAATGAATGACTGATTAATGAACAAACAAGGTTGCAAGGTCCTTGAGGACAGAGGTGGTATCTTTCTAAAAAATATCTCACAATAGTACACCTGTTTTATAGACTCTCAAATGTTGAATAAATGATTGAAAAGTTACTCTGTGTTAAAATTTCCTACACTTTTTGTCCAAGAAATGGGGATAAGAGAGAATAAATAAAAATGAGAGCCTTTTGTCTTATTCACCAAAGGCCTAGCACAAAGATTAACTAGAAGCTAAGTAAATGTTAGTGCAACAAATAAATGAATGAAAGGCACTATCCCTAGATGGCCACTCAAACGAAAGCCTCCAGGTAATCTGTACTGCTCTGTATTCTTTCTGACATGTATTTGCCCTATACACCCTAGTCAATCTGAAATATAACTTGAAACTATATACTTCATTCTTTTTTCTTGGGAATTAAACAGTGGAGAGGGGCAGAGCCTTATTTTTTAGGGTGAACCTTATATTGAGGTTTCCCTGTTTTTGCTGGGCATGAATTTGGATACTACACTGCTATATAGGATGGTCTGAGAATTTAAGCAGATTCCCACAATAAAGACAGAGTAATGTGCACTGGGGTAGCCAGACAACTGTCACAGGTTGCAGAACAGAACAGGAAAATAAGAACCGTACTGACTGTACATCTTGTGGGACGTGGTCCTCAATCTTTTCATGCACTAAATACATAGTGTGGTAGACAAGGGGGTATATCAACTCCCAGGATTTTCACACAAAGTCACCTACATATTGTTGCTAATGTTTAAAAATCAATACAATCAAAACAGCTTTGCACTGGACAAGTACACACAACCCATATGAGAATCCTTGCTGGAAAAGAATAAAGGAACTGAACTCTACAGTTCAGACTGAACCCTACAAGTCACTGGGTCCTCAGCTTTGGCAGAGAGTCTTGTACATAGAAGTCTCTCAATAAATGTGTTGAAGGAATGAGAGGCAAATATGGCCTGCACAGAACAACTGTGTGGTTTAGAGACCTTTAATCGAGAAAAATTGATTTCTATGAAATATGAAAGTTAATTTTTCAGTGTTCTCAATATACTAAAATTTTTAACATACTTATTTAAATAATAATCAGCTTAAAATAAAGCTATCTAAAAAGCACAGGTGTTTGAGACAACAGAATTCTGACTCAATATAGTTTCATTTAGCTTATTGAAGTGGAAATGTCCTCCTACAGAGGGAAAAAAAAATTATCTTTTACAAACATTTGTTTAAGGTATACATTCTCAACCAAGAAAATTGGTTCTTTGGCAAAAAAACTTAATTCTTTTTACAAAATAAAGTACAGATATACATTCAATACATAAACAAATAAACAGTATATCTGTGGGAGTAAACTCTCACTGGGAACAATTAGGAAGGAAAAAAGTCTGAAAAGACTCAGAGTGGGGGAGTAATTTTTAAAAAAAGATTGAGAAACACTGATATAAAGATATGACAGTTATAGCTAGAAAGGGAAGAGGCAAAGTGACAAGTTAATAGGCTTCCCCCCTCTCCAGTCATTCACATTTCTGCCCAGGTAATTTGGAACAGACCTGTTCTCATCCATTAGTAACGATCTTAAATTTGAATTCAGAGAGCCCAGACATTTAGAAAGCATGCCCAAAATACAGACGTTCATATTTTGATCACAAATCACACTGAAGCAAAAGGCCTCACGGAAGCCTTATTTACTCATTCAGAAAGTATTTTTTGAAATATGGGGGATGACA